GGCTTGGTAGAACATTTACTGGGACCAGCTATGTATCTTTGTTTGTAAGGATTTGCATATTAATCTAATTTTGGAATCCAATATCCAACAGCAGGGTCAAATAGTTCTGCTTAAATTAACTTCTTTACTAAGAGATTTAAATAATTATTTTGGTTTTCCTACTATGTCATTTAAAAAGGATTAATAGAAATGAACGCTCCAAAACCGAAAATACATGTAGCATAAGATCTTTCAACAGCTTTTTTTCAAAAACCATATCTAAGTGACAAAGTTGACTATATACATTATGAAAGGTAAGTTAATTTATACGTTACATATCAGGATATAATATAACTGAATATATATATATATATATATATATATATATATATATATATATATATATATATATATATATATATATATATATATATATATATATATATATATATATATATATATAATCGCCCAAAATCTCAAATATTAAATGGACTTTGTAATAATAGACATGTGTTCAGAAACTTCTTTTTCTCGAAATTATTGAAAATGCAACCCGTCTAATGGACAAACTTGCACTTTCACAAAGTTGTAACTTAATCCGTAATACTTAAGAATTGTATAATTTTTTGTACAAATGGATTCTCATTGATAGTTTTCTTTTTTCATAAAAGATATTTAAATTGAAAAACAAACATTTTTCAGGGTATCATTGTAAGGTGAACCATAGTTTTTCAGTTTAAGTTCTTCAAAATTGTTTTTTTTTTTTTTTTTTTTTTTTTGATGTGTTCTCTACTTCGTTACTTAATTTGTGTGTTTAACGGTTAAAGGAATAACACACGCTAATTTGCCAGCTAGGCTCACTTTTTTTTCTGGAAATCGAGTTTATATATAGTGTGTTTGTTTAATTTTTTTCTCTCCTCGTGAATAGGCAAAGGAGGGCTAACTTTGGGATTCCCTGTCGAAATACATTTCATTAGGCCTGTTAAATAGTCTATTTTATCACTATTTAAGTTTTTGCTATTGATTTACACATTGATGTCACATTTTATATGTTTTTTGCCATTCTTCGCTATCTAAGGGTTTCTGATCCGCTACTCTCCACTGAAACCCTTGACCAAAGTCGGATTTTTTTCGCGCTTTTTATTTCTATCAATGACGCAATTTGTGCGCATGTATAGATTCGAGACGTGACGTAATCATTCCCTCTTTTTGATAGCGCTATAGACCAAAGGGTTGGGAGGAGAGTAGCGGTTCAGAAAACCTTGGCTAGCGAAAATGGTATTATGCTAGCTAGAAATAGTTTTTAAAAGATTTTTTTTATGTTTACATGTGGTATGACAAGTTTAATAAACCAAATGCTTGTGTGCTGTTTTAAAATGAATACCTAGATTTCCTATGCTGAGATCATTTTAATAAATTTACAAAACCTGCTCAAGTCCCCGTTTGTTACAAATTCATTCCCCCTTTACTTTTATCATTTCATTTATTTTTTTATTTTTTTAAAAATAATTATTTCATTTGTCTAGCAAGATTTACTAAGTTAAAGAAGATTTTAGTTTTTATTTTTTTGAGAATTTTCTCTGATATCGAACAAGAAAGTAAAAGTTTTCGCTGTTAAAGACCTCTAAAGTAAACATATATTTTTTTTTTCTAAAAATAAATTATTGTGTTTTATGAACAATGTTGTGTATTCAATCAACAGATATGATTTATATAATTATTTAGCACAGGTATCAAATTTTAATAAATTTACATTATAGTAAATGACCAAAAATATGCAGACAATCACACAATTAAAATGATTTGCGGAGGTAAAAAAAAGATCTCCTTAAAGAAAAAAAAAATGAAATTCACATGTAAATTTAATTGCAGAATATTTTGCATGGCTACATATATTTTTCCTCAAATAATTTATCTTATAGTAAACTTATGCACACGTTTATCACGGAATTTTTATGAAATATACTTTTTGTTTGTTTCTTGTTTTGTTTGATGAATTATCATAAACGAAAAAAAAAAATGAACACGAAATGTAAATTCAATAAGCCATATTTTAAAGGGATATTATCCATGAAGACAATGTTGGTTCAACATTTTTTAATACAATACTACAAACTAATATAAACAAGATTGAGTAAATTTTGTAAGGGGAATGGTCCTAAAAAATTCTCAAATAGACATATTTCAGCAGTCAAACAATATTGTACACAATGCACTTCAAAAGCTCGGTCCTGGTGTTTTTTTCCAGATATTCCTGTATAATGTTTGCGCACGTTAGGCTGCATTTAACTGTTCTATCAATCCTCTGTTGGCAAGCTCGTTGCCAGGTATCGGCAGACATTTTGAATCAAACGTAAACAAAGAAATCAAGACTAGGTACGGAATATTTAAGCAGCGCATGATTTCATCACCATAATTATAGTTTCGGCGAATTTGGCATTGTACATTACCTGCCGATTCAAGGTAACAAAAATATTTTCTTTTTTATGGTCGAATAAACATCATCCTCTCATTGCTAGGTTCTTTCTGTGATTTTTTAAAATTTTTTCTTCCTTCATGTTCTTGTCATATACATATTTTTGTAACCGGTGGGATTTGCAATGATAAAAGAATTGAGAATTTTACAAACACTGATAAAGACGGTTAAACTTTGTATCCTGTTTACAAGAGAGAGTGCACAACGATACACGAATGCATGTAGTTAGATTAATAAGAATAGTACATTTAATTTTTCTACAATGTTTGAACAAAGGTGTATAACTCTGTTTTCCTATTTAAATGTTAAGGATGTTGTTATCCGCAATGCAGACTCTATGTCTTAGATTTAATATTTTTTCAGCCCATATATATACACAAGTACTATAATGAAAGTTTTGCAGAATAGATGGAATGCTAAAAATTGAAGGGGTTAATATCAATGTCTTGTAAAGAACGCGGTTTCAAATAAGTTTATAAATACGTTTACATCTTAAATATATTATCTTAAATTCAAAATATATTTAACAATGAAAGGAAAATAGGGAGTGATCAAAAATAGGAAGTCGTCATTGTGGATGAGAAAAAAAAAGTACATTAAATTATTGTTTAAATTCTTATCAGGGACTTGGAACAACTGCCATGCACTCTGTAATATTCTATTATGCAGAGTCAGTCTATAAAAAAAAATATTATACATGTATAATCTAAAACATTTATTAAATTCTTTTACTAAAAACACAGCAATCTAGTTTGATACTAGCACAGTAATAATAATTATCATTGTAATATGGTTAAAAACGTACAGATACGTACATAAAAATTCGGCCTTAGTTGAAAAGTTTACTTATGATTGCACATACATGTACGTTATGATTGGATGAAATCAAAAACCTTGATTTACCATTTTATCTTTCTTTCTTTTGGATAATACCAGGTCTTGTGATCTTAAAATGAAATAATTCTAAAACGTAATCGTACGATTAGGCCTTCTTCTTATCGAGTAGTCAGAAATCTTCACGATTATTATCCTTCGTCAAGTTTATGTTAAGTACAGATTAAGATTTATGGAGACAAAAAGAAAACAACCTACAGGGACATGCTTTACATCGTGATCGAACCTACTGCTTTTAAACATTCTGTGGAAATAATTCCAAAGATAAAGAAAAAAAAAATATGCACATGTTTTGAGCCCTTTGTACCACAATCAATTACAGTGCTGTCCTTTTACTGTCATATTTTTTTTTTAAAAAAGTAAACCAAATATTACGACAAGAGGCCCAGAGACCACATCGCTCACCTGAGCACTTTGTCTAGGAACAAGCAGTAATCAGATCAGTAATGAAAATTTTAAATATAAGAGTGGTTTTGGGAGTATGATTTGAACAAACCTGGATCTACACTAACTATATGACAAATAATGCCTTTGCTGTTCTTTAAAAAAAATTATTGATATATCTTTTATATTCCTTTGTATAACTATGATCCCCTTTTATAGCCCCTCTATTCTCCTAAGGGTCATGATTTGAACAAACTTGAACCTACATTATAGGAGAATGCTTTCATTTGAATAGGATCAACGTTCTTGAGAAGAAGATTTTTAAAGATTTTTTCCTATATTTTCCTATGAAAAACTCTAATCATCACCTACACCAGAGGGTCATGATTTGAACAAATTTAGATCTACACTACACGTACCTGAGGATACCTCCATATACATATGGTCAATCATGGCTTTGGTGTTCTTGAGAAGAATATTTTTTAAAGATTTTTCCTATACTGTAGATTCCTTATTTTTCGCGAGTACTTATTATCGCGAAATGGCTCTTTCACGTCAAATCACGAGAACTATAATTCGCGAGTGGACGGTTGATCAAGGGATTTTACATTGATTTCAGCACCATAAAAATAAAATTATTTGCGAGTGGTGCTTCTCGCGTAATTACGCGATAATTAATTCCTCGTGTATATTTAGGAATCTACAGTATATTTCTATGTAGATTGATGTACTTTGATCCTCCATTTTGGACCCGCCCTTCCACCAGGGTAATGATTTGAACAAACTTGAATCTACACCACCAGAGCACGACTCCACATGAGTTTCATCTTCCCTGACCCGGTGGCTCTAGAGAGGAAGATTTTTAAAATATGCCATTAATTTTTTTACTAATTTGTAATAATGTCCCCTTGGAAAAGAGCGTGACCCTTAATTTGAACAAATTTGAATTTCCTTTTCCCAAAGATACTCTGTGCCATGTTTGGTTGAAATTGACCCAGTGGTTCTGGAGAAAAAGATGAAATTGTGAAAAGTTTACAACGACATCGACAACGACAGACAACGGACAAATTTTTATCAAAAAAGCTCACTTGAGCGTTCGGCTATATATATATATATATATTCCTTTTTTTATTCACAGATTGGTATTATGACAGATACTGTTTCACTTATTTAATGCCCTACAGACCATAGAATAAGAAGAATTATGAAAATCAATGGGCTCCTAATTATTGTGTTTGTATTTTTACTCAGTTCTTTAATTAGGAGATCTCATGGAGGAACGGTGAGTAAACACTTTATTTTTTTTTTTTATTTTCGAAATCGCGAAAAAAAAATTACAAATCAGAATTCGATAGAATTACATAGCAAAAACATGAATAAATAAGATAAATAAGAATATTAAAATAATATGCTTATTATAAAGCGTTAATTTTCGAAAATCTTATTAGGGTATAGGGGAGGGTGATAATGAGTTTTAGGGATCATTGTGTGAAGCTTTATTCATGTATTTATCTTTTAGAGCATACAACTGTAAACGTATTACATTTGGCTGTGTATTGTTTTTGGCGCCTTTAGCGGAAAGAAACTTCCGCTAATTTAATTGCAATACTGGTTTGGTTAGAATAGCGTGTATGACATATGGGCAGAGAAAATCTTTTTGATCAAGTTAGCATAGATTTGATTAACCGCCTTTTATAATGTTCTTTTTTTTGTATATATGCAAGTCATTGGTTGAATTGCCATTCAGGACAAGGGAAATGATTTTAAAGGATCTAATTTTTGTACGACTTAGCAATTTTTCAAGATATTCAATCTTAAAAAAAGGTCAGAGCGAACAGGCAATTTTTCAACATTTTTAATCTTAAAAAAAAGGTCAGAGCGAACATAACTTCATGGCAATTCTTAAAAACTATATTTCTATGTTTTCGTTGTTATCAGGAATTGGATGAAAACATTAATATTTATGTCTATTCTTCTTTATTTGCTTTGCTCCGCCTTTTTTATGTATATTGAAGGGCTTATATATATATATATATCAGTAAAAAGCTGTTGAAGAAATACAAAGCCAAGAACTACGGAAGAATAAGACAGGCGTATAGGTGTTTTATAGTTTACTGTTAAGATTGTTGCTCAAGACGGCAAAGCTTTTTTAAAAAGCAATACTTACCGATATAAATATATATATATGAGGGAATATAATACCCCACTCCCTTGCTGAGATTCATTTTTATGGTCCATTCATCTCCAAATGCAATGTCCATTGTGAACTTTCTGTCTGAAGTTGAAAATGATTACCGGACAATTAGTTGTTCTCGTACAGTTGTCTCAATTCACAGGAAGAAAATACATAAAGAAAGATCGATTTCAATTTCAGAAATCTCCATGTCCACAATCAATGGATACCACTTCATTCCACATCACAAGATGTCCTCAAGACAGAAAAGAAAAGGAAGATAGATCTAAAACTTTTAAATGCGAAGATCAAAAACAAAACTGCACAACAGCTGGCCAATATAAATACCACTGTGTATTAAATTCAAAAGGTGATGGATACATTGAACTGTGTGCACCAGAAGTGGAAATAATTGGTAGGGAAACATCTCAATTTTATTACATGATTGAATGATTTCGAAGGTTCTAATAACAAGCTGAGTCCAAAAATTTAGATTTCATATAATGTTATGTGTTCGTTCACCTGCACTCCAAATTCGAGGTATATATAACCTTAGATTTTTTTTATTTATACTTGGAAAAAAAAAAAAAAAAAAAAAAAAAAAAAAAAAAAAAAAAAAAAAAAACCAGATTGATAATTTCCTAATGTAAAGGACTGGTACTGTTTATTTTTTTTCATTTTTTATTTTATATTTCATTTATTTCATTTCATTTTATTTCTTTTTGTTTATTTCTTTTATCATTATTAATTCATGGTCCAAGGAAATCTTGCATCACACACTGGTAGGACAATATATTGTTTGACATCTATTAATATTTAAATATTTTAAATGATTTTCTTCAGGTAGACGCTGCACTGAATTTACGACCGGAGGTAAATTCCTCCAAGAACATTTAGAGAGTAAATGTGCAACGTGTCCATTCAAATACAAGTCATCTGAATGTTATAAATGTAAGTAAAAGTGTTTCATAAAATTGAATAGAATTATTATATCACCTTAATCTCTGTCAATGTAAATCGTAAAGAGTCGATTATGACAAAATAAAGATGTAGAAAGAATTGTGTACTTTCCTACTAAGCTTATTTTGAAGAGTTTTAATTTTGAAATGTGGTGCCAATTCTTTGAGAAGCTATTGTATTTTTTTTTTCATATTTCTAGACAATGAATGCTACAAACTAGAATTCCCGAGAACTCTTTCAAGTATAATAAAAGAGAAGACAACCGAATCTTCGAAAAATAAATATATGTTTACTGTAAGACAGATTAATGACAGGTAATGATAATTTGGATTATGATTACAAAATACATTAAATCCTATTTTGATTTTGTTCGTGAAATAAGTCTGTTATGCATTGTTTTGGTATCCACAAGGGCAATGAAAATTTCAATTATATCTAGTAAAGAGTTTAATATTCTAATACACAATGAAATTTGAATGGCAAAATAGTCCTAAAAATAAATCATGTTTGAATATGATTTAATAAGTTGAATGCACACCTAAAAAATCCAACTGTTTAACTTGGCAATAACTCGATTTGATAATAAAATCTTCATATGAAATATTTCAACAACTACTAGTTTCTTTGACAAAGCATTTGCAAAACCTAAGAAAAATCCTATTATTTCACACAACATAGGAAATTGTTATAATACATTTTATATATGTATAAACTCCTATCAGTCAACTTATTTATTTTGCCGCGCACGTCAAAAATTACAAATCCTGACATACATGTATAGATAACGGTCTATTACAATCCGTGATACAGGTGTATATTGTAGCAACAAACACCAAACAAACAAACAAAAGTATACACACATGAATACACAGATATACATGTATAAATTGGTTACTTATCGAGCAGATTCTTCAAAGAAATTATTTTAACTGATGAAACGTAATATAGAGAAGTTTTTTTTTATATATGCTATTGACACTAAAGTGCACATTGTGTGGATCGTAAAGTGCAGCGAAATATAAAGGTAACGAACAGCAATCAAGCTCAAAAGTCCATTAATTAGGACAATGCAAATTGGGAGCAGAGCAAACACAGACATTTAAAAACATCAAAGGCGGTGCATCAAATATGACAAAATCAGGCAGGACAATGTCTTCTGGAATCTGGCGTTAAATTACCAACAATAATCACAAGGGTTGAGAACAGGTAACCGGTACTCCAGTACTTGTTGAACGGCCCGAGTATCGAAAACTAAATTCAGTATTCGAGTATTTTGAAAAAAAAAAAGACTAAAAAGTATTTCTTCATCTCCATTAATTATTTTTTAAGCTCATTCTACTTTAAATTGTAATCGTACCGTTATTTCAATTAAAGCCCCCTTCAAATTTTAAAATTCATTTAGTTAGTATCAAATATATTTTCGTCATATTATATGTCTGGAGATATTTCAAACGAATTACTGGCAATTAATTCCAAATCTATAAAATATCAACTGTGTGTAGCTGAATTTAGTTACTTAAGATGGACAACTAATATATTAAATCATTTACATGAAATATATGGAGATAACGAACAGTATTCAAGCTCAAAAGTCCATTATACAATACAAAATAGGAGCAGAGCAAACACGGACCTCCAAACATCAGAGGTGGGATCAGGTGCCATGGAGGAGTGAGCATCCTCTGCCGACCGGTCACACCCGCCGTGTGCTCCTTGTCATGATCGGGAAATAACGGAAAAATCCGTCGACAATTCAGTGTGTAAATAATGGCCTAACAATTAGTATGAAAAACGTCAGTCAGCATTTGACTCAATGATAAATTGTATTTGCTGACAAGGTCATTGTATCAACCATAGAACTTACGAAATGATGACTTTAGACGAGACAGCTGATATTCTTGTTTCATCAACTTATTTGTCAATAATTTACCTCGTTTTAGAAAATGTACATACGTAGAGCATGCTCTTGCGTATCGAATCAACTGAGAGATATATACCCCGTATGCAGGTGATGAAGGTATATTGCTGCATAAGTAAGGGAAGTTGACGATTGAAAAGTTAAAGTCATCACGTTTATCATAAAGCTTGGTTGTTAGATTACCATTAACGTCTTTTTCAAGTAAAATATCCAAATATGAAACAGATGTGTCGGACTCTGTGGTATCTTTTATCTCAAGTTCACCAAGATATATCGTATCGACATAAGAATGAAAATAGCCATTGTTAATTGACAATACGTCGTCGATATATCTAAATGTCGAGTTGAACGCCACAGCAAGTGATTTCTTCTTTTCACCTACAAGTTTTTGGACAAATTCTGCTTCATATGAATACAAAGAAAGGTCTGCTAATAACGGGGCGCAATTGGTACCCATAGGTATTCCAATAGATTGTTGGAAGACCTGGTCTCCAAAAACCACATAGATATTGTCAATCAGAAACTCAAGCATCTTTTTAATGTCAACTTCAGAGTACTTGTGTGTACAATCAGAATGTTTTTTAACAAATAATTTTGCAAATGACCAATGACAAGGTAAGTATATTTACGAGTTCCATATCAAGCAAAGTGACATTGCATCAATATCCGATAAACAATAGTTTTAAACTTCTACGCGGAACAAAAATTTGTCATGCAATTAATCTGAAGGTGTTTTATGGAACACATGCTGATGCTAATTCATAAGCGCAGCATGAAGATTAAAAATGATGAATGTATTTAATTGATTGATTTGACATAGGTTATCATTCCATGCGCGTATCCAAAGCCCCTGACCCACCCCCTTCGCCCCACCCCTGTTTTTTGTGTTCTTTTTAGGGGGGTTGGAAAAGATGTTTTCATTTTTTCTTTGTCTTTTTATTAAGACCCCAATGTACATGCATTCCGAAATAACACCAAATTTGATTTTTTTAAAAAATATATGTATGTATTTATATCTATTAGAATATGTATAATTTATTTTCTTCTTTTCACAGACTCTATTCCCTGTATACTAAACATACGTCGGCATTTAGATACTATAATTACGAAAAAAAAAACATTAAGAACACCACGTGATCATGAAAATGGTGGAGTATACATTTTTGATACTTTTTTAAAATAATAATAAAGCAAACAACCGGTTACTAAGATTGAATTGATTTGACAACCCTGATAATTACACAAGCTAACATCTTGATGAAGCTTTCTACATGGATAAAAACGGATGTGAATTTCACCTTCTTTTAACTTTTCGATCGGACAGATATTTGAGGTTTCTCAAAGCAGAACATGGACTTTGCCATTGTACTTATATTGGAGCGAAGATATCATTTTGTGAGTTTAGTGATCAAAGTACTCTAATAATTTACTGTTAGATGTATAGAGTCATTAATTTTAAGTGTAATCCGTTTAAAAAAACTAATGAACTTTATTAGGGGATGTTTGCTTTCGATGTTTTCTATTTCTTAAAACCTTACTCAATGGAAAAGTACACTTTTATATTACTCTTTGGCCAATAAAAGAGCACTAAGATGCTTACGTATTTCGTTTACATATCCTTTAGTCCAGGCCTCCGCATCATGCGAAGATCCAGAGGGGGTTCGGGAGGTCTGGACCCCCTCTCCCTTGGAATTTGCAGAGTTTTAAAAGTATACACTAAAGCAAATAAAATATGACTTTGGTTCCCCCTGGAAAACGTGGACAACACTACCACCACGAGTAGATTTTTTCACGTTTGGGAAATAAATTTTAGATTTTATTTTTATTTATTTATTTATATTTTGCTTGTTTGTCAAAAGATTTCTGGGTCGGAAATTTTTTGACTGGGGTGGACTCCCTGGAAAAAATTCCTGGATTGGCGCATACGCATGCACATACATTATATTCAATGCCTTGCAAGATTTTATTTATCCATGTATTGATACTTATGAATACTTATTGATCCATTACCTGTATGTTTTTGTCTCATGTAGGTCGATGAATGATGCTGTTGAAGATACCGAAAATACATTTTCCGATGTTGGTAGTGAGGATGGGGCTAACATTAGTTTTCTCGTTATAATAATGTTGGCGTGTATCATTCTTACAGCAGTTTTCGTCAGTTTCGTTGTTTATAAATTTTCCTTGCACAAAAATATGTGTAACAAAATGCAAAGTGAGTAAACCATTCTTCCATATTTTGTCGTTCTAACAACACACGTTTATTTCAATATGTAAAATTAAAAGTTAAAGACTGAAAACCTGTCTTACATTGATGCATTGTTTTATGTATTGCATACATAAATTAGTAATGATTACAAGTTTCTTTAATTCTTAAATGTTTATCTGAATCGAAATAGTGAACATGTTGAAAATAGCAATACAGTGTATATCTTAGAGTAATGAAAACGAAATAATAATATATTGATCATGAATACCGATTTAATTTTTATCGAAATATCTACATTAATAATGTCATATTGATACCTTGAATTTTTTTTCTCATTCCTTTTCCTTTTAGGACGCATGGGAGAAAGAACGCCTGATGTAAATAAACATGAAACTGAAAACTTTTCAACGGAAGCAATTTAAGATAATTTGTACATTTAGTAATCAGATTTTGTCTTTTTTCTTTTCCTTAAAAGTCCTACAGTCAAATCTATTCTTGATTTGTTAGAGAAGACTTATGCAGGCCCTTCTGCATGGGTCTGTTGAATACGCAGTGGAATGCAAATTATTCTTTTGCGTCGATATTAGTATCTTTCTGCATTCTGAGTCGTTACAACAAATTTTAATCATTAAAGAAAATTTTTAACAATTACATATATGGCATTTAAAATTAAACCTTTAAATGGTAATGCCCTAATGACATTTTCATCCATTCTTTCTATATCTATAATAAGTGGACTGTTTGGTTACCCGGATTACTTGTAGAGTAGAGCCAATCATATGTCAAGGCCAATAATGCATAACAGTCTTTGCTTAACGTCTCTTTAGGAAATTTTCACTCATATTGAGATGCCACTATTTACCGGTGAAGGACTGCAAATTTAATCGTCGGCATCTACGGTACTTGAGCAATGAGATGTCAGACCTACTGCGATATTTGACCTCAATTTATACGGTTTCAATCGAAGAACCACGTCCCGCAGCTGGAATAGAACCCCCGACGTAAGGATCGACTCCTTACTCCGCGACCTTAGAGCAAATAATTTTCTAACTCGTCTGAATGCAAATGAAGGACAATAGAGGCAGCTCAGAGACCCATGAGTTAATTTTTTTGAAATGTTTGTAAACATA